GCGGCGGCGGCGGCAGCGGCGGCGGCCCTCGCTCATTAGTACCCGCCGCCCGCCCGTAGCAATGACCAGGGGCCCGGGCTGTGCCGGGCTCCGGGGCAGGGACCCCGCGTCTCCCTGGGGGGCGCGCCGGCTTCTCTCGCCCCCGCCGGCGGCGGGGCCGGTCCCGCAGCGCTCCGCGGGGCGGGGCGGGGGGGCGGCTGCGCGGGGGGCGCTGCGCGGGCAGCGGGGGCCGCGGCGGCCGCGGCGACTCTGCCGCGGCGGCCGGCGGCGAGGGGGGACACCCTGCTCGCCCGTGGGGTTTTTTAAGTTCCTTTTCACGGTCAGCCGGAGGGACAAAGTGTCTTCTTCCCCTCCTCCCCTCTTCCCACGCCGCCCTCCCGCCGCCCCCGGCCCGCGCCTGTGGGCGGTTCTTCCTCCGCCGTCCGATGTCACTGTCCCTCCGTTGGTCTGGGTCCTCTCCGTTGCCCCCGCCACCGTGCCCGCCGGGTTCGGCCTGACCCGGCGACAGCCGCCGCCTCCGCACCGCGGATCCGGACCCTGCTGGGCCCGCGCCTCTCACGGTCGGCGGCCTGTATTTATTATTAATTAATTAATTATTATTAATTATTATTATTACACGGTCCACGCAGTTTTTAGGCATCTCCGTTAGGGTTTTCTAATTTTATTTTAAAAGGCACAAACTATAGCTCTTAGTTGAATGTCGCCAGGTATGCTTTCTCTTTTTCCGTGTCTTTCTACAACTGTGTTCTGTGACTCAACTGTATAGTGTTAATATCAGTACAGACTTGTCTAGTTGACCGTATAAATAATGTTTTCCCTTCTCGTAGTCTCTATGGCGTGTCTTTATGGAGAAATAAGGTTCTCACGGGTTCGGTTACCTTTGCGTTTAGAGACACCAGGTTCAGGCAATTATATATATTTTTGTTATCGGTTGCATGTCGTCTCATTTTTTCTTTTCCCTACCTGTTGGAATATGTTTGTGAGCATAATCGTCATAAATTATGTTCAGGGTTTTCAGATTTATTTATATGTGGTTCAAATGAATGCTTCTATTTAAAAGGGGAAATATTTCTACATGTGCATATAGTTTTCCAAGAGTGTACCATTAATTGATTGTTGATAATAAAAACCAAAAGCAAACATAGCTACGGTGCTCTTCCGACTTCTTGTTAGGGCTTTATTTGGAGGGAGGTCTTGGGGTTATTTCTGACAGAGATCAAAAGCGCACATCGCAGAACCTCTACTGAGTCATGAAAAGGAGATGTGCTCAGCAGCATCAATCTCCTGTTACCATTAGGAAGACCGTAACTGCGGGTCCCATCATTACTGGTTAATTGTGCCCTTATTAATTATTTGCAAACAGGCTGATTAGGGGGAGGAACATGCGTCAGATCTGACCTTTCGTCACTACCTCGAAAATTGGAGATGGTCAATATTAAGCGATATCTGCTAAAAGGAAAACAAAAGTGGCACAAACCACAGGCCCGGTTTGCCATTGGGCGCAGCATCCCGCCGGCCGGCGGAGAACCTTCGCCAGCCCTTACATACACAAGAGGAAGGTCAAATCGGCTTCGCAGCTCGGCAGCTTTCCGCAAACGCTTCTGCTGCAGAATGCGGGCGCAGAGGGCAGAGAGAGGGGCCGCCCGCGGGGACTGCGCGGCTACGAGTTTGGCTCCCATCCGGGCCAGGAGTGGGCCAGCGGCCTCACATCCAGGGACCCGTGCTGCTTGCAGGGCCCGTCAGCGGGAGCCGGGACCGACGTGCCGGGCCCCCGCGGGGCACCGGGTAGCTGAGCACACCCGTCTCTCCAAGCCGAGCTGGCACCCCGCTCCCCTCGAAACCCCTCAGGCAAGGGTGAGCCCCCTCCCCCGAGAAGAGCCGGGGTCGCCGAGCATCCCGGTGCTGCCTCCCGGAGCTGTCCCTGCAGCCGGGCACTCGCGGGTTAGCTGCAGGGACGCCGGGGCAATGAACTCTATCTGACTCTGACACAGAGCTAAAAAAAAAAAAAAAAAAAAAAAAAGTCTGTGGGTTTGGCAGGGAAGTAAACTTGGCAAAGGCGTTGTCATCTGCAGTGTGCAACATCTGCATGGCTGGAGGGCTGGGGAGAGCACCATTAAAAATATGGCAAATGGGACAAGTGCTGTTTCACTAATAAAATACTTCAATTATCGGTTTTAAAATGCTCTAATAAAATATGCAGAGTATTTTCTGGAGAAAAAAATCTGAATGCATTTCTTGAATATATGTTTTGTTATAATGTGGGCAGATTTTGCCATTTTATTTTTTCTTCCAAAAGTCATTCCGTGACCTAAGAATATCTTTGTTAAAAGTAAATGGACTTTCTCTAGGAATTACGCAGCTGTAGACCATGGCTGAAGTGACCTCTGAGCTTTTATAGAAGGTGAGACCTGTATCACCAGTAAAGCAAGCAAGCAATCAAAGGTAATTTAAAGATATCTCTCCTGGTCAGGCCTTGCTGTATGAAGATGATCAGCTTTCATTTTATGATGTGCAGTTTTGGTTTGAAAACATTAAGAGATGACAACACACTATTTCTATGGGTATTTTTTGCCAAGTTCGCTATTTTGTCTGCTAAAACTTGGGCTTTATTTCTAATACGAAGGCTTCAGTTTCCAACAGTGGATATAGCTGCATGTCAGCTAGGCCTTTTCTCTATTTTGATTTTACTACACTGTAAACTGATTTGCATTTTGATCTATTTTCTTCCCGCTGAACTAAATAGGCTGTGTCATTTACATCTCCCACACTCCTAAGGTTCAAACTTATAGAATTTTTCCAGAGCCAGAACCCCCCTCTCCTGTTTCTGAAGATGCCTTGCAGAAGAGATACTGGGATAGTACCAAGCACTGCTGTGTCTCTCTCAGTAATGGTTCATACAGAGCTAAGATCACCTCTCTCTTTCTGATCATAATTTTCCACTTAGGTATCTAAACTTCTCATTAATTCTTTTTGGTAACTTCTGCTTTGCCACTGACCCATAAATCCTTTCTTGAGCTGCTGCTTTTCATGTTCTGGTCACCCACACAGTAAAGGGAACCATTGCAGGCCTGAGATATGTGGCACACACCATTCATAAGAAACAGTGTGCCCATGGCAGACCAGTTGGAATGGTTAATTCATCAGACTTCATAACTGTTCAGTCAGGAAGAAATGGATTGTTTGAAAATACGTGAAGTTTACTTCCGCTCCCTGCAAAGGTAGGAGTTCAAAAAGGAGTATTAGTTAAATAAATAACCTATAGGATTGCTGCTGACCTTTACAAGCACAGAAGCTAGATGAGGCCCATGGGGTACTCAGCAGGAGTCCAGGCATGAAGAGGATGCCAAAAAGCTGCTCTCCAGTGGTACCAGTGAAAGTCAAATGGGCAAGCTAATCCATAACATCAAGAGGTGCTTTGGGGCTCACAAGGTGAGGAGGTCTGGGCAAAAGGACCTAAGAAGCCAAAAGATGCTGCAGTAAACAATTGAGATTTTGTTATTTTTGTTGGTTTTACCCCCTCCCATAGTTCAAATAAAGAATTGTTTTATGATCCAACTCAAATTCAGTATGAACACATGTTGTGTTCTGAAGAGTTCAGAGGTAAATTCACATTGTATTTTTGAAGCAACTTGAGTGTTTCATTGTCTGCTCTTCTAAATACCAAGACTTAGAATTCAGGTCTAATGTTGAATTTGGCTCTTGCACACACTTTCACTTTTTTCTCTCCAACACATGAACAGAAAGAGTAATTCCTGATTGCAGTATGAATCTCTTAGATGGATGCATGACAGTGCAAACATTAATTTTGCTACTAAAGAATATGAGGCCAGCATACAGTAAAAATACAATTAATAAAAACAATCTCACTTACAAGTAAATGTCTCTAAATTGTTTAATCTTTATATATTGAACTTATTTAGTGAAGTTCTGAAACTACTACCAAGCAGTGGGAAAAGGAGATGTCATGAAAAGTGCCTGTGGTCTATTAGAATATATTTTTAAATTCTCTTTTCCTCCCACCTTTTTTTGACATCATTGAAGTGTACCTAGCAGGAGTCCCCTGAATGAGTCAGTCTCCAATCAAGGCCAGCAAACTTACTGCTGCAGTCTGAAGTGTGAGCTCTTTCTGAAGTCAAAATCTTGGGTTTCTTTATATGGGAAGGATCTCCACTGCACAGAGGGGGAACAGACATGAAGATCACTAGTAATTCCAAGATACCTACTAAACTAGTACCTGTCTGTAACTCTTGCTGCACATTTAGCATGAATCATTAAGAGTCAAATATTTATCTCACCTGTAAAGCAGATCAGTGCTATGAAGGCCATATAACAATGGGAGATGAAGCCTTCTGTTTCTGCTATCAGTTTCATTTGGTCTTTTACCAGCTACCACCCAATGACTGTTATGAAATAAACTGGTGGCTTCATCCCAGGTGCTACTAAAATCCGTCTCCATCTTAGGAAAACAACTTTGGGCCTTGTACTTTAGGTAAGAGCTCATCAAGTATGCCAAGGAACGATTTGAGAGGAAAACAATCTTCTTGATTTGTGGGGAATTCATCCAGAAACAGCTCAAGAAACTTTAGCTGTGAAAATAAAGCTCATGTTTTCATATTTTAGGTTGGAAATTTCCTTTGGAGACAGGAAATCATCTTTTGGGCTGATCCTTGTCATGGCTATCACATCGAGAGGAAATTAAAATATTTTCCCTTGAAAAGAGGTATTATTTCATACTATTATGGCAGGCTGAGGCCATACTTCTTCCCATTCCTTTTTGAAAGAGAGGTAGTAAAGGAATGCCAACCACATCTCTTGCTGCTTCAAAGAGTGTTTAAATTATATATAAATTCTATCAACAGTATTAGATAAAAGTTCTATGCACTCTTGGGAAGTACAAGTGAGAGCAACCGTCTTTCCAGCAGTCTGAAGTCTAGTGTCAGCATTAAGGCCTCTATCAAGAGGCTCAGCATATGGATGTGGTCTTCAGGAGCATTCACTTT